CTCTTCCAGAAGAAGTAATGAGCACTAAGGATGACTTGGGCACCGGAGAAGTTAATGCTCAGAGCCGCGGTCCAGTTACCGACAAGGCCAAGCCAGCCATCTATCCAGCTCACCAGCGGAGCCCACTGACGTGTGGACAAGACGACTGACCAGTAATAAACACCACCGGCTGTCGGGTACACGGCGCATATTTCGGCCATGGACGCAGCAGTGCACAAGGACACTATGGAGACCAGTAACCAGCCGTAGAGCGCTGTCACTGACTGTCCATCTGTCAACGAGATGTACATGGTTGTCGAGATGCCCAGCGGGACAGACATGATGGCGATTGATAAGCCGAGAATACTCAGCATGCCCATATTCCTGGGCAGCTCCGCCGTATATCCAAGCTGGGCAAGTGCCTGATCGGCAGTGACCTCCCCTGCCTGCTCAGTCTTCTCCATGGTCGGCTTGTTACTGGAGCTTGCGGCGGGAGATGTTGACATGGTGTCGGACGTATATGGTGGACGTCTGATGTGACGAGATTGCAGTTGGGTGCCGTTGATACAGTTCGGAATTCAACAAGAGAAAACAGGACCAAGTGACAAATTTCGATTTTCGACCAACAAGTATCACAGAACTCATAGCATCGAGCTCAAGTCAATACTTGCTCTTCATACGGACTTATATGTTGAAAGAAAACGTTCGCAAGTAGTGCGTATTTTACAACGTTGAGCTAGCAATCGAGAAGCTCGACTCATTCAAGCGCTCGCCTAAACACCAAGCGGCCGCCACCGTGAATATCGTTTAACCCACTGGGATATTCAATAGCAGGGTGGTCATGCGGGGGTGGTGGCTGAACAAGTCACTAGTCCTTATTGGGCATCACACCGCGCTTATCATGTCCAACCCTCGGTATGATACTTCATGATCTTTGACAGATAGGAGAATTGTCACTAGTCCTTGTCGGGCAGCACACCGCGCTTGTGAACGTCGCAACTTCAAGCCGCATGCCATCTAACCCCGCACTAATCTCAGGTTGGCGTCCAGTAGGATTTTGATCAAACGAGTGCTTTATCTCCCTGGTCATGCTGACTGGTAGTGACCTAGATCTGCCGAGGATGCGCTGGGCGGGGTCATGTATCATCTGATACGGTCCACCCCTTGCCAGAGCCAACCTGTCGGGTCGGGAAGCGACAATCTCCCGATGACTGTGTAGTGTGCGAATTCATTGCGGTAGGTCGAACAGTTGCAGCTCCCAGTCGTGTCGTGTTCGACCAGTGGAAATAGCGGCTTGGAGAGTTCATGGATTGATGACTAGTCCGTATGACCTAAGAAAATGATGTCGCAAGGGCAGATCGAAATGTCGTTGCAGTGTTCGGGGTTTTTACATCAGTATAAAGCTTGGCTATTTTGAGATGCCGTTGATGCACTGCGGGTTGTAAGAAGCTCCGTGGACATCTCGCTCAAGCAAACCTAACTGAATGAATCGCCTCAAAAACATCCGGGATCACTTGATAATACCTAGTGAAGTCGGCGCCCCCATTCTATCACCATCACCCCCCATACACGTCCCGGCATCCACGTCAACCATGGAAATTACACAGAAGCCTGATCTATCTAGCTGGAAGATGAATCATACCATGATCCGGGTTAAAGATCCGGTGAGAAGCATCGCGTTTTATCAGAAATTAGGCCTGTCGTTGATTGATAAACTTGCAATGCCGGAGAACCATTTCGACCTTTACTTCCTTGGCTTTGATGTCAAGGGGCAATCCTATTCAGCTGGGAAGATACGATCTGATCGCCAAGGTCTTCTAGAGTTGACTCACAACTACGGAACGGAGCTCGATGAGGGTTACACGATTTCCAATGGCAACCAAGAGCCAAATCTGGGACTCGAACATCTTGGGATTACAGTGGGTGATGTTGAGCAAACAGTCGGAACTTGGCTTGCGTTCCAGTCAAAGAGCAGGATGAGATCGCTGGGAGCAACGAAGTTCAAGGTGTTATTGTCCAGGATCCTGACGGATATTGTATCGAAGTAACCTCTTCGGCTGCCGAACCCAGCAACTTTTCCGCCGGTGTCGAAAACAGGTGCTTCAACTCAACAGGACTGCGCATCAAGGATCCGACTGTATCTCTGCCGTGGTACACAGACATTCTTGGTATGAGCCTTCTCCTACGATCCGATAAACAAGGTCAAACCACGTACTGGCTGGGCTACCTCGATGGTGGCCCCAGTCGCAGTGTTCACCAGAGAGAAGGGCTTGTGAAGCTCATATGGACTCATGGTTCCGAGTTGGAGTTAGGCAAGGTATATCACAATGGGAATGATCAGCCGCAGGGGTTTGGCCATCTCGGTAAGTTCCTCTTCCCTGGCACATATGTTGATCCTATGTAGATTCCAAACTGACATGCGGGTAAATAGCACTGGCGGTCGACGACATTACGGCCGCGTGCGAATATCTCGAAAGTAGAAAGGTGAAATGGAAGAAGCGCCTAACGGATGGAAAACTCAAGTCAATTGCCTTCATCATCGATCCGGATGAATATTGGATTGAGATCATTCAGAATGTGAGGATCAAGGAGCGCTGGGCATTCAGTAAATTGAGACGGTTGAACGCTTCGGAAGAATATATAACTCTGATTTCTAGAAGGATGGCGCTTAAATGAACTTGTGGGTGACTGGTGATATCTCTATCCAAGGATGAATTTCCCTCCTGTTTCGATCATAGCCTCTGAGATGGTGATAGGCCGATCAAATTCAAACGTACGCACCCTCGACCATATGTGTTCCAGCACCAGTCGTGAACGGGTCATGTTTGCAAACTTGAATGTCGCCTCCATGTCGAGCAAATACTCCCGCAACATGTTCCTACGAAGCGGCAGGGTAACATATGAGCCCAAAACAACAATCGGCCAACACATTGTCGTGACGATTTGAGATTGCGCGGGCAGCTTTTCGAGGAGGTCCATGAATTCTGCCACTACTGGCGCAATTAGCCGGTCCAGGTTCGATGCTGGCTCCCGGCCAAAGTCACCAGAGGTAGTCCCGTCTAGTTCATGAGGCGCGAACTGCGTGGCGATGTTGATCCAGTGTGAAGCTTCTAACAGGATGGCTGTCAGTGCGAGTTGGAGAATCCTCCCGCTAGCCTTGAAGGTATCGTCAACTCCAAGGGGTGCCTCCCACAAGGAGACATTTGCCAAAAGCAATGCAATTCTGGATCTCAGTATCACCGTCTCGTCAAATGGTGAGCTTTGATCCGAATCTGCCAGCTTTGTCGCTGAAGCGGTCGAAATGAGAATCGAAAGAGGTATTCCTCTCGCCTCATTCAAGAGAGCGACAGCTTGCGGAATGAGGCGGAAAAGTGCATCCGAACAGCCGAAGAGAGCACCTGTATAGCCCGATGCTGAAATTTCGTAGTAGACGGAAGCTGACTCGTCAAGCACGCTGGCGTCGGTTGTGTCCGCAGGATGACAGATGCACGCGAGAGCAGGAAGTAGGCGTAGAGCTCTCTGCCAAAGACTACAGCATCTTTATAATCCTGTGGTACTTCGTTCAGGCGGCTGAGGATGTTGGGGGCTAGGTTTCGAAGGGCGGTCAGATGTTGGAATGAGCTTCCACTTTCGCCGCCGTTGGCAAGCTGTCAAAGTTTAGTTGCTTATTAGATAAGAGGTCTATCAGAAGGTCGGGAAGGCCGGACGCACCTCTACACAGCAAAGTAACAGCATGGAAAGAAATAGTGGTATCCCAAAGTCCTCATCGCCACGAGAGTACCGAGTGATGCCATATTTGAGGCTTCGTAGAGCGAGAGCCTGCTGCTCCAGCGTGTTCACCGTGGTATTGCTAGGGCTGCTGGCCGCGAGATGAAAGGAACTGAAAGTCAGGACGGAGTCGAGCAGCATCGCAGATGCATGAGCAATAGGCAGTAATGCATCGGTGAAGGGCGTGTAGGTGCCGACGTGAGCAGATGCCATCTTGCCCGTCCGGTGGAGGTAATGGTCGAGGAGAAACTTCGACTCAGGTCTCAGCGATCCATGAGATGGCAGGGTTCGCGGGATAGAGGTCAAATCTTTTTTGAGAAGCCTTGCATGCCGCCTTGCCGTTTCAGACTCATTCTTCGCCCGGGTGTGCTTCCGTAGGCGACCCTGGGGCTCGACAGCAAAGATGGTCAAGGTGGAGGAGGGCTTGGGAGTTGCAGGTCAGCATAGGCACACCGTCATAAGAGCACACAGGCCCATTCCCCGGCAAAGATAGCTGTAACAGGAGACTCACCATCCCTCCTTTGCGAGGCGGACGAACCTGCGGTGTCGGGGGCCAGACACAGACAAGGTAATTGCGCTGGCAGCCCCGGCAGATCGGCTTTGCTCCATCGCACTTCTTCTTGCGCAACTTACACGGCAAACAACCAGCACTTGGATGCATGTTGAAACTTGCACTTGCTCCCACTTCGACGCCAGTTCGAGGAGAGCGATTTAGTCTGGTGCATGGCGTTGGGGAGCTGAACATCCTGGATTCGCACGTGGGGGCGTGCAACGTTTAAGTGTGAGCATGTGGTCCCCTGACTCCAGAATTGCGATTCAGGGGCACACTAGCAATCTTTCCCCGCATCCCGTATCGCTTGGGTGGGTTTCGGTTGGGGGATGTACAAGGCCCGGCCTGGTTTTGAACCACGCGGAGCTGGGACTGTGGCTTAAATTAGCTTGCCAGCCGGCCACGCTGGGGTAGTACACTCTGGACCCCTCCTGTTCAGCCAGGACGTTTCAGCATCATGCCAGAAGTAAAGAGGATTGCTGGCGGGCGTTGAGTTCGAAGATTGTGGTTCGGACGTACTCTCTCTGGCTCATTCAGAATGGTAAGGAAGACGGGAAAGGGAGACAGAGCGGTAATTGCAACTGACAAGTACAACAGTGCTAGTATCAGCACTTGCTTTCTCCTAACCATAGGCCATTAAAGGTGAGTATGACGTCTTTCGAGATGCTCTGCATCTTGTAATGACTCAATGTGATATTGCTTCCCTGTCACCACGCTGGTCATGGCGCAATTGAGGGTCGATGAGATGAGCGGGAAGAAGTGGTTAGACAGTCCAAATTCAGATCCAGGTTTACTCAGTTTCGGTCATATGGACATCAATATGTCAGGCACCAGGGGCTCGTGTCTATCACCAACAGATCAGGTGGACAACATCGTGGATCAGCGCATGCGTTGGCTTCCAACAGACCACATGTTGCAGTCAAATATTGCTATGTGCCAGCTTCTCCTACGTCTATGACCCACAACCACTGGCTGATTCCCTGAGTCCATGTGCATGAAATTTGCATCCATGATGCCACCCCATTTTACCCCATCGCAACATGGGTCGCCCAAAGTCTCAAGACGCGGAAGCTCGAGGAACGCTGGCAGCTCTGACACGTTCGACAAAAACATGGCGGCGCTAAATAAAGCAGGCAACGCACCAATTCTTGAGTCCCCGACCGATAACTTCGGTAGACAGCTCGCACTCGCCAATGCTCAATATCCCACCCGGAGATAAAATCACATCATGTAAGACTATGAGTCAGAGCACTTTGCTCAGGTATGTCTGGTGAGCCACGCTCTCAATACAGCTGTTACGCCGGTCTTCTACGATAGAATTACCTTGTATCCGAACACTAGGTCTCTTGGATAAAGTTGTCGACTTCTACAAACTTTATAGGCCCTACCCTGATGCAATGGGGTTGGTGAAATCCCGTACACATTTGACGTCTATTTCTTCGTCATCGAGTTCATTTACCAGTGGAAGTCAAAAGTCCATCATCAATTTCCTTTCTGACATAGCATCCATCCTCAGTTACTACGAGATGGTATTTGTTCACCACCTGCCCAAGCTCTTGCGTACACGCCGATGCTCCATCACACATTGACACTCTCTTTGCTGGGCGCACAATGACAACCATCCTTTCCTTGCTGAACCTGGCTCGGCGTGATGGCATAGGAGGGGGGAACTAAAGAAAATGGTTAACAAAGTGAACGGCCTGTGGGGCTTGATCTGGTGCTTACTATCCATGCAAGGATTCCTCTCAAAGAAGTTCCTCGGCCGCAGCAGCAGAGTGATCGGCTCGGCTGGCATGACAGGATAGTCTTCGGGCGCAGGGAAGTGTGTGATCCCAAAGGTATGCCAGAGCACAATATCCGTGTTGGCGATATTCTCATCGGGGTTCTGCATGATCCATTCGGGAATACCCTTGGACGGGATGCCTGAAGTCTGGGTGACATGACGGCCCGCGGGGTAAAGTTGATCATCTTTGTCTGGTTTGGTACGCTGTATTCAGCCGAAGCTCTGCAGTATGGCATGTGGGCGGATCAAGAACGTAATATGGGATGCACGTGCACTTACATTTGGTAACATGGACCGCATGACGCGCAAACCCGGCCCTGTTCCACACCAGGCCGCCCTCGGCGGCCATAAGTGGAGCGACCTCTCTACTCACTAGCTTGTACGAAACAGGCTTTTGACTGTACTTGTTAGCCTTGGCCTCGTTGGAGATGTCCCAAGTCCTGCTGGTCGAGCTGTCGTAGTCTGCTTGAGCCTCGCCCACCGTCTTATACTTTGTCTTGGCTGCGAAGAAGGCATTCCCATGCTTGTTCTTTTCTGAACCAACGGAGTGCGGAGATCGTGCGACGTCCACCTGGAAGACGGTGTTATCCTGGCCATCCAGATTAGGATCCACGCGCAGGCAGAATAGATGTTGGTGATTATGCGCATTCACACCGGTGTACACTTCGGTTCCGTATCCCTCTGTATCGTCGCCGGGGTTGATGCTGGCCGTGTTGAGAATGCCTGTAAGCTTGATCTCGAGTTGGATGGTGCCATCCTGATGAAACACCCAGTAAATGCAGTATTCGTAGTTCGCGGCGGTGAAAATATGTGAGATGAGAAGTTTTCTACCGCGAGTGACTATGGTGCTATCATCTCGAAAGTCGGTGTGCTTGAACAGGATGCCGGCATCCTCTTCGTGGATGCATATGGCGTTCTTGATGGTTCGAACACCACCAGCTTGGGTCGGGAGGTGAGCATCCATGTAGTGAATAGCTCCCTTACAATCACATCCGAGCGCTAAGGAATTGGTCATATTTCCGGCACCATACTCGCCGATGTCGAAGGCATGCTTTCGATGATGGGGGTGATCTGGATTCCCGTAAGGTACAACCATCTCGGCTAGCGAAAGGCGATAGAACAGAGGCCGGGGTTTCCCCTCAAACTTATCGAAGAAGTTGATATCGTTGAGCACGATGCCCTCACGATAATTAAAGCCCACATGAATAGACCAATTCTGCCAGCGGATGACGCGGTTTTGCATAGTGAAAGAGACTCCTTCTGGCTGCGTGATATTGATAGGCTTCAGATCCGTGCGGAATCCTCCCTCCTTCTCAATGTCTGGTATATGGTAGTTGTTGGGCTTGGCAAGGCTCAAGGGGCGTCGGACAGGTGGGATATCTATATCGATGACCTCTTTTTTGGCCACGTCAAAAACGGGGTAGAAGTCGAGTGGAAAGCTGTATTGGCTGTCGTCGACATGGGGACGATAATAGAGCAGAGCTTGCTGCGCGCGGACTTTGGTGCCGTACTTTTCATCGTGCGTAATGGTCCATGGGTCGCAGTAGACCTTGTCCATATCTTCGGGTGCGATACCGATAATCCTACACTGCTCGATGACCTTGGGGTCTTTGCGTAGGATGTGCTCCACGTTGATCATCTCCTCAAGTATGATCATCGGCTGCACACCGTCAAGGGCTTCCCATTTGGTGATTATTCCTCGGTCGAGATCAACCAAAACATCGTAGGCCTGTCCAGATCTGTCGACGGCAACTACGTCGGCGACTCGCGTTGGTACAGGGGCGGTGGCCGGCTCGGCTAGCCATTTCAGCATGTCTTGCTTCCGCGGTTCGTGGAGAGTGACGGTGTTGAAATGGGCATTGCCTTTCTGCGAGCGGACGATGGATACGACGTTTTCGATCTCGTACGCATCAAGGGGATCAAGTGGGTGCTTGGCAGGTCGGTTGGCGCTTAGATGCCTGGAGAACTGCTGGATTCGATAGGAAGCCATTGTGCGGGATACGGATTCCAGTGCAAGTTCTTCCGAGACTCAATCAATTTGGGGAATATGATGGGAGAAAACTGAACAGCGAAAGCGGAGTGTGGTCAATCTGTGGTTAGGACTGTTGCTGAGACCTTAACATTGAAGTCCGCGATCCAGTGTCATCCTGACGTTTTATCACCCAGAGACTGTGGACTAAGGACAACATGGAGGAGAGCAACTGATCTGTCATACGCGTGCGGATGCGAGAGACGGCGGCATCTTGCCTGATCAGTTCAATGACTAGCAATGATTGCTTGAGTCGCACATGATCGAGCTGCACCGCGGCTTAGCTTTGTGTCCCTCGCTTGCCAACAGCATTCGCCAGTCTGAAAGAATAGTGTAGTTCAGCTCACTTGGAGTTGCTCACTGAGCGCGGGGTGTTACCAGATGCGGTTGGTAAGAATATGACCCGCCACTGGGTTTTACCCCTCCTCGCGTCAAACATCCGGCGGTGGCCCCAGTTCGACCACGTGGGGAGTTGCATTGGCCCCCACACACTCTGAGGCTGTAAGTATGCTCGAGATGCCATGCGATAAGGGCGGTCTCAAGCCTTTTTCGTCAGGAGCCGCCACGTTCGGCGCGAGCAAGCACTAGCTTCAAGAGGGGTTCGGTTGAACGCAAGACACCAACCCGCCAGGAGCCGGCTGCTTACCTGATTCGGTTAAGTCGTATTGAGGTTCATCACCGCGGGCTACTACTTCAAGAGGTTGGCTCATCCCAGTCTCGAAGATCCTTATCTTGCTCTGCATTGCTATGGCTGATGCACTATTGAGCCCAATCTCACTTGACAACGCCCCGCCAAAGTTCGTCAGAGAAACTAGAATAATGAAAGCTGATGAGAGCTCTTAAAACAATGCTCTTGTACCAATAAGATCAGCTTCAGATAGCTAGATCTTTTTTGATGGTCAGTAGGTACTGTAAATATAGTAGAATGTACCAATCAGGCAACAATTTGTGTAGTCACTAGTGCCTGATAGTTCCGGGCCACCAGGCACTATGAATCATAGCATATTTCCCGCATGGCTTGGCCTGCATTGGCTGGCGTTGCGGTATGCACTTTCTATATTCCCATGAGTACTGCCAGCCAAAGAACTCTTCTCATAGAAACTTAGTTACCACAACCGAGGTCAGCTTACCACAGACCAGGGCTGCGATTTCAAGACCCAATCAAGTACGTCTATTGAACAGGCCCCTTGATCCACGGCGCTAATCCTCAAGCCGACATTCAGGTTGGAGGTGGGTGTGTCTTCATGTTGACTGTAAGGGTGTAGACAAAGCCTGAACGGCCCTGCCTTACTTACCTACTAATACGGTGTCGTGGGCTGCATACCCTCCATTGCCTCGCGAAGTACTCATAGTTTCATCTCATCTTCGTCAGATACTCGAACATGCGCCGCAGACTTAACCGCCTTTTCTGTTACAACGAGATGCATTTCGGAAATGTGGTCGACCAAGTTGCACAGCTTGGGGTTCTGTCTCGCCCCTTGCGGTGTAGGTTGCCGCTTGGTATGACGCCGAGTCGAGCTTTTTCGCCTTGCAAGCGAACCCTGTCTTCTGGAAACGAGCTGCCAAACAAGACTAAAGGACGTCCTCCGTTCCAGGGCAAGATCCAGGGCAAGATCCCAAGCAGCATTCCGCAGTGCCTGGCAAAAAGGTCTTCAAAGCTCGGAATATCTTCAACTGAATATGGAAAGACCACCAGCAGGCGTAATATAGTACTCACTTCATGTAGGGATCAAATCCTTCTTGCACCTTACAACCTTCCTGCAACGCTCACATACAACAAGCTATGCTCATCACAATAGGCATAGCTTACTTCTTAGGTGAAATGCACCAGCCTTCACCTGCGGAGAACTCAACTTTGCCCCTCGCCCACACAGACATGCCAACGCACAGGACCGATGAGGAGAACCTCATCGCTGCCCGGACAGAGCTTCTAGGGGTTGTTGATGAACAACAGATCAGCGTCATCACGTCGGACCTCGAGTATCACTCAACTTCCGAGTGGTCAACACACCCGGCCAAAGATACTGAGCGCCCTTTTATGGTTGTATTTCCACATTCGACAGAGCAGGTTTCTGGGATTATGAAGATCTGTCACACACGCCGGATTCCTGTGACCGGGTATAGCGGCGGTACCTCACTTGAGGGCCATTTCGTGCCGACCCGAGGTGGTGTGTCAATCGACTTCGGACGTATGGATCAGATCCTATCATTGCACAAGGACGACTTGGACGTTGTAGTGCAGCCTGGAGTCCGATGGGAGGCACTCAATGAAGAACTGGCTCGGGATAATCTTTTCTTCCCTCCAGACCCAGGCCCTGGCGCCATGATTGGTGGTATGGTAGGTACGGGATGTAGCGGGACAAATGCATATCGCTATGGCACGATGCGTGAATGGGTGCTATCACTTACGGTAGTAATGGCTGATGGCACAGTCATTAAAACACGTCAGAGACCGCGAAAATCATCTGCAGGGTACGACCTGACAAAGCTCTTTATAGGGTCCGAAGGCACTCTGGGAATGGTAACTGAAGCTATACTGAAGGTGGCCGTCTTGCCCCAGTCAACATCGGTGGCTATATCGACATTCCCATCGATCCGGCATGCTGCCAACTGCGTGGCAAAGGTGGTTGGTGCCGGCATCTCTATCGCTGCAGTAGAGATCCTCGATGATCTCCAGATGCGAGTCATCAACCAAACAGGCAGCACGTCGAGGGCATGGGAGGAGGTGCCAACGCTGTTCTTCAAGTTTGCTGGTACTCCGGCTGCTGTTAAAGAGCAAGTAGCACTGGTACAGCAGCTATCGAGTGACTCAGGATCGCAAACATTCGAGTTTGCCAGCAGTCAGGATGAGCAGCAGGAACTTTGGAGCGCGCGAAAGGAGGCACTTTGGAGCACAATGGCTTTAAAGCGGGACGGCGACCATGTCTGGACGGGTGACGTGGCAGTGCCCATGAGTCGATTGCCAGATATCATCGAAGAGACAAAATTGTCCATGGTCAATGCGGGCCTATTTGGAACAATTGTCGGTCATGTTGGAGATGGTAATTTTCACATTATCATGCTTTACAATGATGCCGAAAGAGAACGGGCTGAACACGTGGTACACGACATGGTAAAGAGAGCAATTGAGTTGGAAGGTACAGTTTCTGTGAGTACTACAGACCAAAGGTTGAGGATTATACTGACGCGTACCAGGGTGAGCATGGTGTTGGCTTGGTCAAAAGAGACTATCTGAACCACGAACTTGGCGAGGCGACCGTTGACGCAATGCGACAGGTGAGTCGTTCGTGTTGGTCTTGGCGCCCTCTAATATGATGCAGATAAAAAAAGCATTCGATCCTCTTTGCCTCTTAAATTGCGACAAGGTTGTAAGGATGCAAAAACCTAGTGCTGGGGAGGTTGCCGAATGGTAGATCAAGAGTCACAACTTGATCGGGATTGACAAGACGGCGATAGAATTGTTTTAGATATCGTGTGTGTACAAGCTGCTATTAAACATCAATACTCAAGTCCAGCATTTGATTTGCCACACATACATGGAAGCTTATTACAAATAACTATCTGAAGAAGCATCTATACAATCGTTGTCACCACTGATCTTCCATCTATTTCAGTGATCATATTGTTCTCCACGATACCCTAGCATTGCAATACGGAGTGTGTATGCTGACACTATTGACCTGCAAATCGGAACATCTCTTGATTATGAGTGGCATGAGTATGATAACTATAGTCGCCCTTGCAAGACATCGACGGCTTACTTGCCGCCTCACCGCTTCATCCAATCGAATCATGGTCTACTACCAGGGTAAGGAAGTCTGCGCCAGAGCTCGCGGCGCTTGATGAGATGGAGCTGAGTCTTATCTGATCTTTCGCGCGAGCGCGTCGTGCTAAGTGACCCCGCTGGAGCGGAGTGCCTATACCATATGAGCCTCTTTGTGGGGAAGTCTTGCAAGACCTCCCTTACAAGTTGTCTCAGGCGCCGGGTTTACGAGTGACGTCAATACCGCTGCATCCTTTAGTCTGCTGTCCGAGGATCTATTCCTCCCTCTTACACTCTTTAGGGTCTTCATGTACGGCTAGTATATTGGTAAGGGAGCGTTAGCGGTGTATCTTTTATTGAAGAGAGGACTGACGAAGTGAGGGGCTAAGCGTTCAAAGGCACTTCTTACAAGGAGGGATGTAAGCGTATGGTACGAAAAGGTATACCTAGAGACCCCTTAAGAGATGGATGGTTTTTAAGGTGAGACTCTTCTGGCGATACCCTACTACTCAATAGAAAAAGGTGTAAATCTTCAGCCAGTATGAGTTGTAATTCACACGGATGATAATTGTAGTTAGCGCGGCACCGTGAATGCGAGGTTCGCCTCCCGACATTTGACTCGGTCATGCATTCTAGACGAATGCATTTTAGGATTCTCAACGCTGGGTGTATGGATCATGATGCTGGCCATGGGTTGTCCCAACTTGACGATCTCCAAAAAGAAGCGCAGCCTCGAAGACACGTCTGGGAGCTATCCGAGACCGAGTGTTATCCTTAGTGGCGGGAAAACTTCCAGACGAAGCTGCCAGTTGCTGAGTCCCCTACGACGCATCGGAAACAAGAATTCCACCATTCACATACGGTTTGAGATCCATATAAGATGGGGACTGTTGCTAGGAATCTAGTAATGCAGCCATCGGATGGGTTCCGTCGGGTGCCGACATCCAGGGGCGTGCGGAGCCTGAGCTGAGGTGGGGTCAGTAGTGGGGTCGGAGCGGTCGACACACGGCGGTCGGAAGCCCGCAGTGCTGCCAACCCGGTGCGACGGCCGGGACTCGTTTGGTTTGACGGGTCGTCAGAAGCCGCGATGATGGACAGGGAGAGTAACCCAACAACTCGTCTCGGCGCAGGTCATCTCTTGGCGCAGCATAATTTGGCGGAACGTCTGTGGCTTCAGGACTTATCCAGCAGATTATCCAAATGGCGACGTGCTATTAGTGGGCATGAATGTTACCCATCGGAACGATGACCGCTACTCGAACGTGGCACTCCACTGACTCGACTCCTACCCCAGGATCAGCCGATGGTGATCGCCTACCAACCAGACCAAGGTTTCGACTCCACAAACATCTGACTCGACATTGGAGGCGACTGACTGGTGCTGGTCAAGAGTTACATATGTATAAAGAAGTCATTAATCTCCTGCGACAAGCAACCCGCAGAAATCTACAATTTAGTCACTTCAGCACCAAGAACCAACCATGCAGCTGGTAGAGAAGAGCGTCAGCATGGCCGACAGTAAAGACATTGCAACAAAGCTCACCGGCGAAGGAAGAAGAAGTGGTGTCGAGCACGTCGAGGAGGAGCTTGGGAAGCCCAATGTCATCAGCGAGGATGTCAATCATCCGGACCCTGAGTTGTATATCGAAGCCCTCGCAAGGTACCCCAACGACGAGTCGATAGATCAGGTGGCCGAGAAAAAAGTACTCCGCAAGATTGACATGCGAATACTGCCCCTGTTAGGCATATGCTACTTCTTCTACTATGTTGACAAGACCACTCTGTCAGTAGAACCCTTTCATCCGAAAAATACGCGCTCTGACAAGGACAGGTCCTATGCAGCCATCTTTGGCCTCAAAGGCGATCTCAATCTCAAGGGCGACCAATACTCCTGGCTCTCGAGCAGCTTTTACTTTGGTTGGCTGATCTGGGCAATTCCCTCGAACCTCATCATGCAGCGCTGCCCGCCTGCTTGGTATTTGTCCTTCAATATCTTCATGTGGGGTGCGTTGCTCATGACACAAGCTGCAGCTCGTAACTTCTGGGGTCTTCTAGCCCTCAGAGTTTTGTCTGGTGCTTTTGAGGCAATCGCCGATCCTGCTTTCATGCTGATCACTTCAATGTACTACACTCGCGAGGAACAGCCCTCGCGCATCTCAGCTTGGTATGCGTGGAATGGCATTGGTGTTGCTGGAGGAGGATTGATCGGTAAGCTACAGCCGTCCTTGGTTCATTTTGCAGCTACTGACGGTTTAGGCTACGGCATTGGACATATCAAGGGAGCGTTAGAGTCATGGCGCTACGAGTTTCTTGTCGTCGGTGCTTTCTGCTCATTCTGGGCCATCATCCTCTGTTTCATGCTGCCGAACTCGCCTCGCACTATCTGGGGCTTCGACCGAGAGGAGAAACTGATCATGATCGCTCGTATGCGTCGCAATCAGACGGGAATAGAACAACGGAAAATCAACTGGGGCCAGATCAAGGAGGCATACTGCGACTACAAAACCTGGCTCTTCACTCTGCTTGGCTTCGTTGCCAATGTTCCCAACGGGGGCATTTCCAACTTCTCCACCTTGGTGATCAAGGGCCTTGGATTCGACACTCTCGAAACCGCTTTGCTCGGCATTCCTCAGGGTGCTCTGGTGGTCGTCTGGATTGGCCTGGGTGCTCTCGCCAACAGATATATGCCTCACAACAGTCGCACTTTGGTCTGCGCAATCTTCATGATTCCGACTATTGCTGGATCTCTTGGGTTCCTTCTGGCCCCCGAAGACGCCTACGTCGGACGGCTGGTCTGCTTGTATGTATTAAGAGCCCTGACTTTGTAGGCTGGAAGCTTACAATCATTTTCTAGCTATCTCACCGGCTCTTACCAGGCATCGTTTGTGATTTCTCTTTCTCTGATCACCTCCAACACGGGCGGTCAGTCGAAGAAGATGATTGTTTCAGGCATGATCTGGTTCGGCGCCTGCATTGGCAACATTGTCAGCCCATTCTTCTACCTCACTAAACAGGCCCCGAGGTACCAGCTCGGCATAGGCTCTATCCTTGTGGCGAACTGCATTGAGCTCGCTCTCTTCTTCATGTTCCGCTATGCCTTCAAGTGGGAGAACAAGAGAAAGGAGGAGAAGCGTGCCGCCATGCGCGCGAACGGCAGCTTTGTGGCCGACGAGCTCAACGTCACTGCCTTTACAGATATGACGGACAAGGAAAATCCCAACTTTGAATACGTCTACTAGACAGTCGGGCGCAGCTTATGACAGCGCAGCGCGATATTTATCCCGAGGAGCGACCTGTCTTCTGCCAGGGTTCAAACCAATGAATATTCATTCGAGTCAAAGTCATTGCTAGAAATAATTAGTTCATCATTGAATTTCGCCTGTCAAAACGATTGATTTGGTTGAGGTTGCCATTTGTGACGCGATCGAGGCCATCTTTGGTGTGGCTTCAAGGATGGCACTCGTCGTGATAGGGCTCGGGTTGGTTGTCAACGAACTCACGCGCCACAAATTTGGAAACCAGCAGCGTATCGCTCGTCATCGGCTCAAGCTCGACGCGTTGCACTCGCTGAAAGCTGTTGTTACACTGGCAGTAAACACAACATGTTGTAAATTTACAGCAAAGGGCTGCGTTTTTGATGTGGCGGTTCAACATTCCGGGCGAGATTAACCGACACGACGATTTTTAGCTCTGGCCTTGCAGAACAGGAACCCGGATGTCGTTTCGCGGCATTCCGAGGAAGTCCGGAACCCCGCCTCGAAAGCAACGCACTGGACCTGCACAGGCGGTGCATGCCCCATAAGTACTTGGATTGAATCGATCGCAGTCAATCCAGAGAATCCACAGCCTATGCTCGCCTTCGGTATCCTGCACCAGTGCCTCACTCGCCATCATGTCCACCATCAAAGGCAAAGCTATCGCCATTACAGGCGCGGCCTCTGGTATTGGCCGCGCCACGGCAACCCAGCTTGCGTCTCTCGGCGCTCGACTGTCTCTCGCCGACGCCAATGCATCGCTTCTTGAAGAGGTCAGAACTGAACTGGCAGAAGTCGCCGGCCCACAGAACATTCACTCGAAGCAGGTTGATGTGCGAGACCGGGGAGCCGTTGAATGTTGGATCCACGAAGCTGCTGATAAGTTCGGCCAGCTGGACGGCGCGGCGAATCTGGCAGGCGTAATTGGAAAGCAGCAGAACATAGCTTCCATTGCCGAAATCGATGACGATGACTGGGATTTTGTTATGGGAGTTAACATCAAGGGCGTATTGAATTCGTTGCGGGCACAGATCCCAGCATTGAAAGACGGTGCTTCTGTGGTCAATGCTGCATCGGTGGCAGGAATCATCGGCTTGCCGAACAGCGCTGCCTATGTCACAAGCAAGCATGGTGTTGTCGGTTTGACAAAGACGGCTGCGAAGGAGCTCGGGTCGAGACACGTACGGGTCAATGCAGTTGCTCCGTGAGTGATAACGCGTCATGTCCGGAAGGGAATATGTCACTGACAACAAGTAGCGGCCCCATTGAGACACCTCTCTTAAAGACATCAGTACAACGTCTGGGCGAGAGGCCCACGTCTTATTCTATGGCTTTGCCAAGACAAGGCCAGCCGAACGAGGTCGCCGCACTGGTTGTATTTTTGTTGGGAGATGAGAGCAAGTTCATCACAGGCTCAGTGTACCAGGTTGATGGCGGCTTGGTGTGCTAGACGCCATGAGCCGAGTCCTCGAATATCCTTTTACTGGTCATCAATCGAGTATCGTGTTTGCGAACAGGTGTTGCGTTGGTTCTGCAAGTGCGGATTGACCCGTAAGCCCAAACAGCAGACACTTGGCTCCAGTGGGAGTATGGTCTGAATAGGAATTTTTGCTAGATACACTCAAGAGGAGTTTTCAAGGCGTTCCGACTGTATTATGCAGAGCGACGACTTTCCTGTTACTTTGATAGAGCATTGAAGTAGAAATGAAAGCTAGGGTATCCCGATGGATGCGTCATGATATGTCGCACCTATTGTCATCCTGCTGTTGATGATTACCTTAAGCGCGTCAAGGCGGCAAGAAATCGTACGGCGTTGCGTGTGAGGACAGGTCAGCCCGGATAATAAAGAAAGGTTCAAGCCACTTTCTTCAACGGCGGCGAACAGAACACCTTATATATTGCACCGGGCCTTCTGCGTCCGCAAATGTGCAGAAAAGCGCGTATGGCGAATCGAAGAATATGGGGCACCAAGCAGGAGATACGCCCGCAAAAGCCCTATGGACCAGCGGGCAAGTGGCAGATCTCTGGCAGACGAGTACCGCAAGCCTTTGCCAAGAGCGATTTGGGAGGGGGCGAGCGCCCGCAAGAAAGCAGGAACAAAAGTCTGCCGAACTTGATCCAGGTCGAACGATGGTAGCAGTCTAGAAGCAGGGAGCTTTAAGGCTGTTATGAGATCCGGCAGTTGGCACCTTGCGGGCGCTGAGAAGCAGGGACGCAAGCGTGGGCAATGTGGTATCGATCCCGGAGCTGCATGGTAGACGACCACCCGATTTCGAGGTGACATGCACCCAAAGAAAAAAAGGAATAAAACGACTTAATCCAGATGGTGAATCTGACACGTGAGCTTTTGCGATGATGAACGTTGACGGCCTGCTCCTCGTAGATCAGCACGTGAATAAGACGGGGGATCGGTTTGACCCTGAGCGTGTACGGTCTGCAACGCCTTCGGCTTGGCGGTGCTGTGTTCAAGTGTAGCGGCAGATAGTGCGTTTTGCCTATCATCAGGGTTGAGGCGGCAAGCCAGCGACGTGGTGCGGCCGACTGGCGGCTCGTAAGCAATGTATTAAAGGAGTCTTGTGCAACGAGTGAAGGGATCAGCTATTAGTCTCTTAGGGGGTCTCTAGGGAGATAGAATAATCGATACCCTTCTATAAATCTTAGTCTATTAACCTTTCTTATAACTATTCCCTTACTACGCTTAGTCCTCTCTCCTTAGTTCCTACGATTAAATAATAGGCTATCCCCTATCGGTCTTATACCTCCTTTAGGTCCTAATATAACGCCCTATCTCTCTCTTTACTTCGTCCCGAAGTATAATATAATATTTAGGTTAAAGGTCCCTATTAAGCTCTAAGTAACTCTCTTTTAGGCTATTTAGTATTATTAAGTCTAACGACGTTTATATATTCTAGGTTTCTATTTAGTTCTTAAATATCTATCTTAATAAGTACTTCCTATTAATTAATTAGGGTTTTTAGGTTAATTCTTTATTATTTAATAGCTATAATTTAATACTTCTATATATTTTTCTTCTCGTTTTAATTCTACTTTTTATTCTTCTATTATTCTTATTTAATAGTTTAATAGGCTTCTTCTATAATTAATTAATAAATAGTAATATATTAATATAGTTTTATTATTCTATTATTCTTCTATTCTCCCTCTTTATTTTAGTTCTATTTAATTATTTTTATATTATTCTATTCTTAAATAGAAATCTAATAAGCTTCTTTTATAATTAATTAATAGATAGTAATTTACTAATATAATCTTATTATTTTAATATTCTTTATTCTTTCCTTTCTTATTATTAAGATTTAGTAAATAGCTATTATTCTAAGATAGCTTATTATAAGTTTCTAATATATTTATAAAAGGATTTTCTAATTATTATTTCTATCTTTTCTTTTTCTTTAATAATAATAATAATAATAATAATATTCCTCCCCTCTTTAATATTATCTTTATATTTTCTATAATAATCCTTTAATAATTAATTATTATATAATTATTAATTAAATATAGTTCTTAGATTAATTCTAGCTTTTTTAATTCTTTAATAAAAATAATTTATAAATTTATTAATATTTACTTATTAATTACTTATTAATTAAAAGTAATAATATTATTATTTAAATAA